TTCACTCTCATTAAAGCAAAAAATGCAGAGCCCCAGAGCTGAACTCTTGGAGTGATTTATGCATCTTTCTAGGGAGCTCCTCTTTGATTTCTCCCGTTGCTCCAACCTGTGCTATAAATACTCACTTTGATGAGTGAAGTGATGATGGGAGGAGCTCAACTGGCTCAGAAATCACTCTGGAATGTCTGTGCCCCAGCAGCCCCTATCTGCCCACCATCTGCCCAGGGGCACTCGCTGCTAACAGCACTGGAAGGACAGCTCCAAGTTTTCTCCACTTCTGGTCCAAGTTTTCTCCTCCCCACTTCTGCTCTCCTTTATTACTGCTTCCTACCACAAGGCTTTGCCTCGAGACATTTTGGTGCTTTTGAGAGCGTGTCCTTCATTGGAATTCACGTATTTGCTGTAAAGAACACAATCTGGGGATGGCCATGCTGTCCCCTGTCATCCCATCCCACCCAGCAGGAACCCAGGCCTTGAGCTGGAGGCGTGGGGATGGCAGGCTGCAGTTTCTGTTCTGACCCTGTGCAATCTCAGCACTCAGCCCCAGAAAAATGAGCAACCTCAGCACTTGCTCTGGCAAGCTCCATCCCAGATATGCCCAGAAAAGGAAAAAAACAACTCTCGTGTTTGAATTCTTTGTGCCTGATAATGACTAAACAGAGCCTGAAAGGGCTGAGTGCCCACAAACCTGCTGGAAAGAGCTCCAGCTCTCTCAGGTCTTTGGCATGAACTTGGGAGATTCAGCTGCAAACTTTGTGTGCCTTTGGTCATCGTGGGCCTCCTCAAAAAGGAGGGAATGAAAGGGTGGATTTCTGTAAAAAGACCCTGGGCAGTCATCTCTGGATGGCTACTGCACAATCAGACAAAAGAATCAGAAAATCCAAGAATGGTTTGGGTTGGAGGGGGCCTTAAAGATCATCTGGAGCAGGGTGGGATGGCTCATCCCTTGATTCTGGTGGCAAAGGTTGTTCTCAGTGACCACAGCCGTGTCTGCACCGGTGAAATGCTGTCAGGCAGCACCCAAGGCACACAATGGCTTTCAGAGGTGTAAAAGAAGCACACAGTTAAGAACCAGCTCATGTGGATTGCTGCTGCTTTGCCCTGTGGTGTCTCAGACCCACCCTGGCCCCAATAGCTGGGTGAGTCAGGCTGGGGATTAGGAACATCCTCCCAAACCATGGGGTTCCAGGCCAGGAGAAAGTGCCACAGGCACTGCCCCAGGTGCACACCTGGCTGCTGGCTGGATGTGAAAACCCAAAGATTCGGTGTTACATCCATCTCCCTTTGTTTCAATCAGGATCCTGTCCAAGGAGGAACCAGATCAGCTTTTCCCATCCCCTGAGCTGTGTCACCCTGCTGTGGTTCACGGGCACCCAGGGGTTTTCTGCAGCTCTGGCACCAGTGGCATCACCTGCTGTTCATCACCTCGAGGTTTCCAGTGAAGTTCCACCTCTCACCCCCCTAATCCATCTCCCCAGCATTGCCCAACTCCCTGCTGGAGGGAGGCCAGGATGAGCCCAGCCTCAGAAGGAGCCCCAGGAATGGGAGGGGACCTGCAGGGACAAATCCTGCTCCTATTTCCAATCCCTGCTACCCATTATTGCCACGCCAGTGTAACACAGGGGTGCATTTATAACTCCCAGGGGAGCTTGTCCAAGCAGGTCACTGGATCCTCCTCAGGTGAGGAGATGAATCAGCCCTGCAAGCAGCAGATCTCCTGCTCACCAGGTGCAAGGGGAAATAAAAATACCTGTTGAGCTGGATCCAAAGAATTGAATTTCATTCACCCTTCCTCACCCAGAGACTTCAGTGCAATTTCACTGACCACCAAAGACAAAAACTGAGCCGTGGCTGCATCAGGAGCAGCAGCCAGAGCTGGAAGTGCTGGATGTTTGGCAGAAGGAAGCACCAAGGAGTGGCTTTTGCAGCTGGAAGTGATGGAGGCCACGGCACAGACAGAGCTGAGGACACCAGGTCACGTCAGGCCAAAGAGTTCTGCAAGGCTCAGCATCGTGTCCTGAGCTGGAGCCAGCCAGGAATCCAGGAATCCAGAGCTGTTTGTGCTGTGTGTGCTGCAGGGATCTGCAGGGAGGGGCAGAAATGCTCATTCCATCGCAGAGGCTGGAGCAAACCCAAGGCACTGGAGAGAGAAGCAACAACCTTCAACCCAAGGACCGGTTTATCCTCGAAGGAAAAGCTCAGAACTGATTTCCCAAGGTCCCCACGGCAGCCAGGGATGTGCAGACCCTCGGAGAAGGCAGAGCAAGGCTGTGATTCGGGAACCTTCATCCCACAGGGGGGTATGGAGCCACCTCAGCAAGAGCTGGGCAGTTTGTTTGGTGTGTCAGGAAAGGCACAGGATAAAATCAGCAGGTGCTGCCAGCTGAGAGGGCACAAACTCCTTCAGCCCCAGTTTTGGAAAACCTGGCAGCTTTTTGGGATGGCTGGGTGGGAATGCAGCACAGGATTCCCTGATTTCAGACAGTCACACCTGCAACTGCTGCACAAAAATTGTGCTGGGTGGCTCAGAGGGTTTAAATGGAAACCATAAATTCTGGGAATGTCTTTTTGCAGGATTTTGGATTTTTTTTAACCCTTTTCTTTTTCCTCAAGAGAACAGCAAAGACACCACATGGGTCTGGTTTGAGTGAGAGCATTTGGACAGTGAGGCACATTTGATAGGAACACGAGAGGGGAAAAGGTACAAGTGAAAACAGAGGATTTGTGCAATTAATGCTTTACATTCTTTCACATGCTGGCCACAAAAATGTCCACTTACCTCAGTGCAATTAATGCTTTACATTCTTTCACATGCTGGCCACAAAAATGTCCACTTACCTCAGGGGAGGTTCTCCAGGTGGTCTTTTCCCATTTTATATAGATATAAAATGTATGTATATAATATAATATATATATATTATATATATATATTATATAAATATATAATATATAATATAAATATATAATATAAATATATAATATATAATATATAATATATAATATATAATACATATTATTATTTATTATATTACTATATATAATATAATATAATAATATGTAATGTTATAATTATAATTATATATTAATATATTATTATATGTCAATATATTAAATATAATATATATATTATATAAATACATAATATATAAATACATAATATATAATTATATATAATGTATAATATATATCATATATCATATATAGCATAATATATAATATATCATGTATCATGTATAGATTATTATATATTATATTATAATATATAATATATTTTAGAATATATTATATATATTATATTTTACATATTATTTTATATATATATAGATAGATAGATAGATAAATTGGATTGATGAGAAGAAAGTGTCAAGGGGAAGTAAAGTAGTTTCCAGATTGGTTTATTACATCATTAATCTGCACAGTTTGGCTTTGATGGCACAAAATGGCCCTGAACTATTGCAGTTATTTTATTTTTATACTTATTTAATTAACAATAGACACATAAATTATTTTTCTTAATGACCTGTATGCATTTTGGCATTTTCTATCCAATCACCTACTACTACCCAAAAACCTCTAGAAGAAGAAAATGAAGAAGAAAGAAGGAAAAGAGACAACACCCTAAATCTTCCATCTTGATTTCTATTTTTTAAAGTAGTTTAAACTCTAACTTTTTCACCCAGTGAAAAATTAGAGACTTAAGAGAAGTCTCTAATTTACACACTCACACTTTTGGCTTTTCTCTCTAACTTTAGCAGTTGTTCCCATGTATCACCATGCAAACATGCCAATAAATTTCATGTTCTATGAAATTCAGCGCTCTGGATCTCAGAGCCATCAGAGACAAGGGCACCACTTTGTGTCTCAGACTCCAACCCTGAGCCCTGTGGCTCTCCTAAATCACCCTCTCTGTCCAGGGGCTCAGCAGCTCTGCAGCCTCTCTCCTCTCTCAACCCCCTGCTGCACTTCCAGCACCTTCCCCAAACCTTCCCATGAACCTGACTCCCCCAGGCAGCTCCACACCCTGCCCAGGGAGGGCTGGCACAACCCAGCACCGCTCTCTCCTTCTTGCCTGTGCTTTGCATATCTGGAACCTCTTCTGGTGCTTCACCTGGAACCTCTCCGGGCCCCATCGCTCCCACCCTGCGCTCCCCAGGATGCTGGGATGGGGCACAGCCCCGAGGTCTCCCTCCCTGCCCAAATATGGTTCCACACTGCTCCAGCATTACTTCATGCCCTGCATATGTAACACACCTATTTATACATTTTAATGGATGTTTGGCTTTCTGGGCCCCGGGCTGTTATCCCTCCTGTGGAGTGTGAGCGCTGCGATGCCCTCGGGCTTGTTTTCCTCTCAGCCCTTCACCTGGAAGGTTTGCTCACTCCCACCCTCCTCTGCAGCACCTTCTCTCAGACCTTTCCTCCAATTCATGGTTTCCATCCCAAGCCTGTCTCCTGCAGGGCTTGGGTGTCTCTCAGCTCCCCTTCCCTTTCCCGATGGTTGGTGTGGAGGCACCCAGGGACCAACCAAACACCCCGTGGGTGGGGATTGATAAACAAAAGAGACTGTTGAAACAATCAGAACTAACATCTGCCCCTCTCCCAGATGGAAAGGAAGGGAATCCTGGTCCCTGAGTTGTTCCTTGTCCAGGATAAAGGCATCCCAAATGTCTTTGCAGTAAGCTAAGCTCACTGCTTAAGTTAAGCTCTCTTAACTCAGGTCCCACACGTCGGTTTTTGGGGACATTTAAATTTCAGAGGTGGCTTGGATGGAGGAGCTGTGCAGCACCCAGCTTTTGGCACTGCTGCACTGTGTGGGTTTGGGATTGGGCTTACCTGGAGCACACCTGGAGCTGCTGCACCCACACTGCAAAAAATGCACCACAAAGCTCTGGCCTTGCTCCCAACCCGAGTCACTGGGAAGTACAGGCATGGCAGTGCAGCCACATGGCTCCAGAAGGGAAATCTGAGAGGAAATCCACATTTCAGTCAAATGAAAGAAATGTACTTTCAATTATTTTATTCAGGATAGTTTGGGTTTATTCCTGACAATAGCTCTGGAAGCTGGAGCATGTGACAGAGTCTTTGGAGACCAGCAATTAGAAAGAGGTGAATCAAGCCCCCAGTGCAAACATCCACGGGGCTTCTTGCCTGGGAATTCACAGCAAGCTGCAGAAATCTTGTACAAAACCACAACCTGAGAAAACAATTTCATAAATACCTGCTCAGTTTTGCTCAAAACATGGCTGTGTGCTCCTCCCGAGCTGCCCCCAGGCCACATCTCACCTGGGGCTCAACAGCAAACAGCTTCTTCTTGGCCTCTCAGCACTGGGAACAAGCCCAGGATTCCCACCCCATCACCCAAACTCCTTCCCAGTGTGTGCTGCTCAATGTCCACCAATTGCTGCTTTGGGCTTTCTAGATAAAGACTGACCACGGTGATGTGTCCCCAGAGGGGAAAAGCAGAAGAGCTCTGAGGATGAGGAACAATCCAGAGGTTATTTCTGAACCATCTGGCACAGCTCAGCAGTCTTTGAGGCGAGCCCAAACACACCTGCAGGGCAGAAATCTCACTGCAGGTGCCAAAGGTGAGCTCAGGGATGAGCTCAGAGGAGCAACAGCTCAGGAACAGGTCCAAAAACATCTCCAGAGGATGTGGTCACGTAGGAGCTGAGGAAGGCAGGGCTCTGGGTGCCTGCACATTTTGGGGGGACAGAAGCCACAAACTGTCCCAGTGCCAGGACCAAGAAGAGCAAAGAGCTGTGAGCCAGGGCACAGTGAGACACACAAGGTGACAAATTCTACAGGGGCAGTGACCCAGGGATTGTTCCATCCTATTTATACCCTGCAGCTTTTGATGCCTCCTCAAAACTCCTTAATGACAAGAATCCCAGATGAGAATGTCAGGAACAAAGCATCTTGCAGTTATTGGGAGGTGGCTCTGGCTTCCTTGCCCTTCCTTTTTCACAGGACATCAGGAAAAATTGATCTGGAGAAGAGGGACCAGGTTGTCCAGGCTGCCACCCCTCTGCCTGGAGCAGGGCAGAGCCATTGCAGGCTCAGAAAGGACTCCTTGAGCACGTAACACGCTCCTCATGAGCACAGAACTTCCCAAATCCTGAGAGCAGGGCTTGGTCTCTGCAGTAAATCCCTACAGGAGGTTGACTTTGGCCACAACCTGCTTGCAGCCCATGCTGGAGTACTGCTTGTCCCCTGTAGTGTAGTAACTGAGCTGATTTGCCAAATTTTCAATGTGCTTCTGGTCGGGATAGAGCCCCTCCCTCCTCATCTGCTCCAGGAAGCAGTTTATGACGTGAGACTTCTCCAGGAGCACAAAGGGGATGATGTCTGCAGCCTTCCACAGAGGGTGGACACCGACCAGGACCGGCTGGATGACGCTCAGCAGCTCCTCAGCTCCCCTTTGCTGATGCAGGAGCTCAGTGGACGCATTCTGGAGAACGAACTTGGTGATTTCAGCACCTCCCAGGTTGCTTATTAAAATGTAAATGGCATTGAGGAACTCGTTGGTTTGGTTGGGTTCAAAGAATCGGCCGAGAGTGTCCAGCAGGACGGGGGACATGAGCTCAACCTCATCCAGAATAAACAGCGGGGTCTTTTCCTCTATTTCAGCTCTGGTAACCATGTCAGAAATCTTCTTGGACAGATCAATTTCACAGGTGAGGGGAGCCACCCCGCTGGGGCAGTGATGCATCACAAAATACTGGAGCACAAAGTCATTGGCCATGACAGAGCGAAAATGTTTGGCCAGCACCCAGCCCACGTGGCTCTTCCCTACCCCTGCTGGGCCATTCAGAGAGATCACCAGAGGCTTGTTGTGGATGTGGGTAGCCAGGTAGTCTTTCAGTAATTCCACAATACTTTCCACAGCAGCCTTCTGCCCAAATACTTCCCGGTGCATGGTTTTCTCCAAACCATCCAGGTCGTATTTTTGGAGGTTATCATCCAGGTTCTCTATTGCATTGAGAATCTGGAAGAAGATAATGGCAATGAGCAAGAGGAGGCAGCGCTTTGCCTTGCTCTTCTCCTCTGCTGGGAGGTATTTCTTTGTTTTATCGGGGTACAGGACCATCCTGGATTTCCTCCGGCTCTTTTTCCGCCTGCACTTTTTCACGGAGTAATGTTCCACAGACGTGTCAAAGGTGAAGTACTGGGAGCTCTCAAAGCCAGACTGGTTAAAGAAGGACATGGAAGGGCTGTAGAGGGAAGTTCTGCCCAGGGACAGCTGCCTTTGAAGCAGCCTGGTGTGGACAAACTCAGCAGACTTTTCCCGAGGGAGCTCCAGGTGCAGACGGCTTTTCTTCAGCCCCCTGTAGCAGCGGCGCAGGCGGACGATGGCCCGTAAGGGGGAGGAAATAGAAGTTATTTTCTTGGAAGCAGAGGGGATTACAGCATCTGGTGCTTCCTCTGCGTCGCTCTCAGAGCAGGACGCCTCTTCTTTCGCGTCACAGGGCATTTCCCCTTCCCCATCGCTGTCGGTGATGGGAATCTTCCCTTCCTCGTCGCTGTTGGTGATGGGAATTTCCCCTTCCCTGTCGCTGCCAGCGTCAGGAATTTCCTCTTCCCCATCACTGCCAGTGCTGGGAATCTCCCCTTCCCCGTCTCTGTCGCTGCCCAGCATCTCTCCCTCCACGCTGCCCTCGCTGCTGGCAATGCCTGGGTCACAAGGAGCCTCTTCTTTTGTGCTGCTCTCAGCACAGGGCACCTCTCGTGCTCCAGACGTGTCTCCTGTGGGATTGCTCTCCACCCCCAGATCCCTGAGGACACTTTTTCCATCCACCTCAGAGCAGGGCAGCTCTTCCTCCATCTCATCTGGTTCTTACAGCCCGTTCACATCATCTTCTTTCTAAAAATAAAAGGAATGATGCAAAATCAACCTTCCTAACATCAGGAAGTGATGAATAACAGTGGAATTAGACAGAAATTCCCCTTTCTAATGGGCAGAAACCTGCAGCAATCAGGTGGCTGAGACTTCCAGACCTAAGCTGACTTTCTGGAAGATGGGACAGATATGCAAAACTACAGATGAAATTCGGTGTCAGTTCATGCAAGTTGATGTTGTAACACAAACCAAACACCGCCTTCAGATGCAGAAGGGAAGGTCAGAGCTGGCTGGGGCCAAGGGCAGAGGCTCTGCTGTGAGAGGGAGGACAGCAGGACAGCAGGACAGACTGAGCCATGCTGTGAACCACGGCTGCCCGCTCCTCTTTCCCTACACCTGCTAAATTTAAGGAAGGCAGGGAGCCCCACCTCTGTGCCAGCACATGCACACAGGCACGTACACACCCTGTGGGGAGTCCCTGGCTCACCCACGGACACCTCTGGGGCTGTGGCAGTGACTCGCTGCCGTCCCTGCTGCGGTGGCACCTCCAGGCAGGATTTTCCTGGCTGTGCTGATGGATGTGCCTGGCAGGGAGGGGAGACCAGAGCTGCCCCTGGATGGGGAGCCACTTCCATCAGCCATCCTTAAAAGAATCCACACTGGGTCTTGCCAAAAGCAGCAGGGCTCTGCAGAGGACAGGGAGGACTGGGAGTTTGTTATTAACTCGCTCCAGCTCAGCAGGAAGCCACCAACCTGCACAAAGTCACGCTCTGGACAAGCTTTTACTTCCCCTGTGCAAAGCGGCCTCCGTCACCCAGCGAGCCCCAGGGCAGCCCAGGAGCTGGGTGGGAGCCACAGGCACTGGGAAATGCTTCCTCTGCCTCCCTGCTTCACCCCACAGCCCTCCTGGCTGCTCTCAAACTCAAACCTTCGCTCCCACTCCCTGCGCAGGTTGGTTTCGGGACCGTGAGCCGGACCTGCCACTGCTGTGCTGCAATTAACCCCGAGTGCTAATTGCTGACCTGATTCCTGACCCCGTGCAGGGTTTGGTGTGCAGAGGCAAAACCAGCCAGGCGGGATCTGACAGGGAAGGGCTGAGGTGGCAGCAGGAGGGAGGGCTGGATGCCACCACGGCTGCGATGCCACCCAAAGGATGGCACTGGGAGCCCTGGGCTGTCCCCACCGCAGTCACAGCTGTGCCCCTTCTCCACCCTGCATCCCTCACTCAGTGCCTGCAGAGCCACTGGGGAACAGCCCCTGCAGCTCACACAGACCAGGGATGAGAAAAACCTCCAGGCACTGACAAACATCCCCACAAACACAGGGTGAAGCTTTCTCAGCCCCAAGCCCTTGCAGGTGAAGAGGGGGTTGGTTAAATGCCAGGGGAGAGGCTATGGAAATTTACAGGAAAAGTTTTGGAGAACAGAAGGATCACAGAATTGTGGAATAATTATGGCTGGATGGAACCTTCAAAGAGCATCTTGTTCCAAACCCCTGCCACTGGCAGGGACACCCTCCACTAGCCCAGATTGCTCCAAGCCCCGACCAACCTGGCCTGGGATGTTTCCAGGGATGGGGCAGCCACTCTGGCAACCCCTGCCAGGGCCTCACCACCCTCATTCTAAGAAACTTCCTTGTATCTACTCTAAAGCCACTCTCTTCCAGTTTAAAACCATCACCCCTGTCATAACAGGACCTGCTGAAAATTCCCTCTCTCTCTCTTTGTCACAGGCTCCCCTCGAGGCCTGGGAGGCTGCTCCTGGCAGGGAAACACAGGACACCCCAAGCACTCCCCATGGACATTTCCAGGCCACAGCCAGGCACTGCTGCAGCTGAAACACGAAGTGATTTGGCTGCTCACAGCCCAGAGCCTGCTCTCCTGCTCCCTGTCCATGCAGAGAGCCCAAGGCTCCCACAAGACCCGTGGGGAATGGTGAGGACTGAGCGCTCACCAGCTGGGAGATGTTCAAAATCCTCCTTCCCAAAAGCCCACCAGCACATCCATCCCAGCAGTGTGGGATGCCCAACCCTCCAGATGAGCTGAGCAAGGCAGGGTGGAAGGACAAAACTCCATCCTGAGCAATGAATCTGTCCAGTCATGAATATAATAAGCCTATTAATGCCATGACTCAGTCCCTAATACCTGCTGGTATTTACAGAGGACTGGAAGTTTCTAAGAGCAGCCCCTGCACACTCAGTGTCAGGTCAGGGCAGGGCAGGAGGCTGTGCCAGCCTGCAATGATGCAATTTTGGCAGCTTAATTTAATATTTGGTGAAAACAACAGAAAAAAAGAACCCAGGAATTTGGGTTTCAGCATCCCAGTGCTCATGTAAACACTGCTGATTGCTATTCTGTGCTGAGCCTGGACACCACAGGAAAACTCGCTCTTGGAAACACTCCTGGGAAGCCTCCAGCCCTCCTGCTGTAGCTCCTGCAGTGTTTGCATTCGTGCACCCTGCTGCTCCAAAACAACGTTTCCACAACAGAGGAGCCTGTGTGGGCAGCTGGAGGCGGCCTGGGAGAGGGCAGCAGGATGGGGACAGTCCCCAGGCAGGCAGCAAAGGGCCCTGGTGGCAGGAGAGGACAGCAGAGAACCGTGGGGTTGGTCAAAAGCACCCTCGGCTGGGGAGGCTGCACCTCTCGGGATGGGCAAAGCTGCCTGGAAAAGGGAACAGCTGGGAAATCCTAAATATTGATCCCCTCACCCCCAGCTGGAGCCAAACCCTCCACCCAAAAGGGAGCATTTCCCCGGGGAAGGGGCTCGAAGCTGTGGATAAAGGGGTGAGGGGCTGGGAGGAGAAGCCCGGGGTGCGGGCACGGCTCCGCTCGGGAAGAAGCTGAGCTTTGATCCCCAGGGTGACAGCGGGGACAGCCAGCAGCCCTCCCCGACAGCCTGCTGGCCACCAAACCCCACCAGCCCAGCCAAGGGTCTGCCAGGCCCCAAAGGCAAGAGGAGAAGGACAGAGAGAGGAGGGGACGAGCCCGAAGCATCCCAAACCAGCGGGAGCATCCTTGGAAAAGCGGCGGAAAGGAGAGACTGGGGATGGAGGGGATGGAGGGAGGGGATGGAAGGGATGGAGGGGATGGAGAGGATGGATAGGGGGGAGGGATGGAGGGGATGGAGGGAGGGGATGGATGGAGGGGATGGATGGAGGGGATGGATGGAGGGGATGGAGCCGGGGGTGCCCTGGGGACCCCCGAGGGGTGGGGACAGGACAGGGGAGCCGATACCAGCGCAGGTACCCGCGGTGTCCCCTCGCTCTCCGGGCTCGGACGGGCCGGCAGCTCCGGTGTGGCCGCTCTCATCCGCACAGAAAGCAGCTCCGGAGAGAGGAAATGGTGAGGAGGAGTGGCCCTGGGCGGCACTTCCTTCTCCCCGTGCCCTGGGATGGCCACTGGGGCCGCTCCGTGTCCCCCTCCCGGCCGGAGCCCTCCCCGTACCCAGGGAGCATCTGCAGAAAACAACCGCAGCTTTAAAACTTTTTCACCTACCTTCTGGCTTTTTTTATTAACTGTATTCTCTTTCTAAAATTCTGCAGCTCCTTCCCTCCCTTCAAGAAAACCTAAGGGTGGTTTAGTTTTTACGTGTGAAAATTGCTTTAATGCTACTTCAGTACCACAAAAGAAAAGCTCGGCTTTACCCAGAATCACAAACTTCAGTAAACAGAGAAGTTCATCGTCTTGCAAAAGTGGTAGGCTTTTGAACCAGGAGTAATAATTATTGTATTTCACTGAGTTCAGCTATATAGAGGCATTTAAAACGGGCCCTGACTATTCAATACTTAAGATACACGACAAGGAAATTACGCTTTGGAATTACATTTAAACACCTTCAGTGGTCTCTCTTCACCGTGTAAAAAAAGCCAGGGGACACAAAAAAAAATTATTTCAGCTCCTGCTATTCTCCAGCAGTTCCTTCCTGTCGTGTGTGTTTGCAAATCCTGCACAAACACAGGGTGAGCTCATCCCCCGACAAAAACATCCCCACCCTGGGGCTGGCATTGGGAACCGGCACCCTAAAGGTCAGAGCTGCCAGGAGGGGCTCATTTGGGCTGAGGAGGTGTTTGGGAGCTTCCCCTTGTCCAACAGGGAGAAAATCGAGTCAGTCTGAGGGGGAAGGAGTGAGTCCATAAAAAATAATGAGCCTGGAAAAATCCCAGCAAGTCCGGAGTGGTTTTTTGGATCCGGGCAGGTCCTGGCTGCTCCTGCTCTGCCAAAGCCCCTCGGGGACACGGGGACAGCCAGGGACACCTCTGTGACCAAGCTGTGCTGTGGGCACCAAAACTCCCCGGGGAAAGCGGTTCCATCCCTTCTGGGCAGGAGCTGCCGGGGCTTTCCTGGCCCAGCAGCACAAAGGTCCAGGCGGCTCCTCCTCACCTGCTCTCCTCTTCCCTCCGGTGCCACCTCTCCCCCGAGCTCACACAACCCGGCCCAGGCTGTTTCCTCCGAAACAAACCCGTTTGGTAACTCCAGAGAAGCACAAAGTGAGCTCTTGCTGGTATTTCAAGCTCCTGGTTTTTGGTAGCCCTCAGCTGGAACCTGCGCAGGAGCTGAAATAAGGAGGAACCCCCCGAATTTAAGGGGTTTTGGTGCATCGCTGATGCAGATCCCACCCTGGATGTGATGAACACAATTCCCCCCAACTTCAGGGGAGGGGATTCTCTGAGCAATCTCCCCAGGAAGGTGCCTCTGCTGTGGCCAGCGGGATTTGCCTACCAAATCCTTGCAAATGTGGGGATTTCTGTGCCAGGAAGGCACAGCTGGAGCTGCCCTCGGGCAGGGCTGACCTGAAGCACAAATCCCACTGTCAGGAGCTTGGCAGGTGTTTTGGGGGGCAGCCACCAAGAGAGATGCTCTTCTGGCTAATTCAGGTTTTTGGAGGAGGAGCATCCCCCAAGCAGAGTGATGGTAACCATCAAAACCCCCCAAAACACAGAGCCCACCCCAAAGCTCTGGAAAATTCAGCATTAGAGAAGCAAGAAGGTGCCACCCCCACTCCTGCTTTGGGGAACTCCAGCACCCCAAATTGTTGGGGACAAGCTGTGGGGAGGGGACCCACTGGGGGGACATGCAGAGAGGTAATGTTTTAATGGGATTTTTTTGGGGGTGAGGATGCCTGCAGGTGAGGGAGGTGTACATGGGGGGCACATGGGGGCTTCAGGGCAGTTCATGGGGGCCATGTGGGAGCAAATTTGGGCCACCAGCCCTGTCCCCCCCCCGTGTTCCCCCGGCTGGGCCCCACGGGGAGGAAACGGGTGCGGGGCCGGGATGGGGATGGGAGGTGCCACAGCCCTTCCTGCGGCCACGGATGCAAATCCTGCACAAACACAGCCTCTCCCACACGGGGAGAGAGGGAGAGAATGTGCCAGGGAGGGGGGGACGGTGCCCTGAGCAGAGATTTTGGTACAAGCCTCTGAGTGGTACCCACTGCTTTGGGCACTTTGGGTTTGGTACCCACCAGGAGGCACCAATTTATGTTACAGCTTTAGGGTTTTCCTTCAAGTTTTGGAGGGTCATTCCCAGACCCAAAGGCCTTTTTTCCAAGCGTGGATTTACCCTTTTTGCAGTGTGATTGGGCTGGGGGTGAATTTCTTCCCTTTTACATCACCCACCTTGTGCTGATGTGTCCTGAATTGCTGCTGATGATCCCTGAACCATCAACCCTTCTGAATCCTAAATCCAGTGGAAATTCCCTGGATGCATTCTTGGGGCCATCAAGCCAGACCCCTCACTCTTCCCAATCTCATCCTTAGCAAGAATTTCCAGGCTCTGTGAGCAGCTTTAACACATCCTAAATAACCCAAACAATTTATCCCTGGGCTGGGGAATGTCCCCCGCATCCTGCCTGGGTTATCGTGACCCTTCCAAACAGTTTATAAATAGATCAAGGTAAATGAGGGGAGTGCTCTGTGTCACAGGGTTTTTATATCTCATTCCTTGTTTTCGAGGGGTGCTGGGTCAGATGACCACTCCTAAAACCTGAGTTGAATCTGCTGCTTCTTTCTCCTCCAGCTGAGCTCCATCTGTACCTCGATAAAATGGTGAAAAAAAGGTAAAAGCTAAGAAAAATGGGTTTGGCAGGTTCAGCCCCTCATGTGCCAAAGGGAAGGTCTTGGCTGTGCTGTGAGGCACCATCCAGGCCCAGCACCAGGCAGGGGGAGAGGGCAGGGACCAGCTCACGCAGCTTTGGAGAACAGAAGGAGCACATCTCGGAAAAAAACGGGAAATTATATGGGAAATATCAGACAGCACTCTCCTGTCCCACCACCAGCATCCCCCAGGGCCACGGATATCACCTTGTGTTGGAGAAAATCACTGTAACACCTTCCCAAGGTCTGTATCATCACCAAGGGCTCTGCAAAACACCCCCAAAGAACTGGAGCCATTCCCAAGCATCCAAGGAGTAAAAAAAGAGTCCAAGGCCAGGCTGGACAGGGCTTGGAGCAGTCTGGGCTCGAGGAAGGTGTCCTGACCCATGAAGGGTGGAAGGAGATGAGCTTTAAGTGGAAGGAGATGAGCTTTAGGGTTCTTTCCAACCCAGGCCATTCTGTGAGTCTATGGTTCTACAATTTTATGTGCATTTCTGAGCTATAAATACGTTTTTCTTCCTTTCCTCTGGAGTGGGAGTGATTTGCAAAGCCCTGGGACTGCCCTGGCCAGCAGACACAGCTCCAGCCTGAAGCACAGCACAGCAAGTGGCAGAGGGAATAGCACAAAGCCTTTTTTTTTCCCCTAGCTTCCTCTGTTCACCAAAAAAAAAAAATCACATTTCCAGCTTGTTTCAATTAAGACTTCTGTATTCCATGAAGGCTGAAGCAGTCATTAAACCAGAATTTTTCCTGTTGTAACACTTTGGAACAGCCACACCACAGCTCAGCTGGTGGCTCTGGCTCTGCCACACCAGGACCTCCCACGGGCAGAGAGGTGACTCCAGGTCCCCTCAGTGGTGGCATCGCTCATCCTCCAGCTCAGGATGGACAAACTCCTCACAGCCCACAGGTCCAGCCCTTGGGCAGCGTGAGGGAGGTGGGAAGAGTCAGGATGGGAATGATGCTCATCCCCTGCCCTTCCACGGCACAGCCACAGCTTGGGGAGGGCTGGGAGTGCCCAGAGTGTGGGAATGCTGCTGGGATGGGGACAGGACACACTCACTGCCCCACAGCCCCTGCACTGGGGCTGAGGAAACACCACAGAGCAATGAATCCACCCGCACAACACGTAAATAAATCCATATTCTTGCATCCATAAGCAAAGCAGAGGCAGCCACAGCCCTGAGTCACCCTGGGCTGTCCCAGCAGTGGCTCCGTGGTGAGTGGGGACAGCCCTGCTGCCAGCTCTGCTCCAAACTGGCAGCTGCTTTCATCTCCCCACATCAAAAGGAGCCTTTTTGCTGCCCTGTCACAGCCACAGCACAAGCAGACACTCCTTGGGACACTCCTTGGGACACTCAGGGATGGGGCTGGCACACCCTGGGCTGGCAGGCACTGACCCCACTGACCCCCAGCCCTTCCACATCATTCCATGTGCTCAATGTTCTTTCATGAAAAAAAGGAAATATAACAAAGGAAAAAGTGGAGAGAGGAAAGAAAGGGAAAGGGAAAGGTCTCTTTGGCACTCAGGCATGGATGTCCATCCTTTCCCTGCTGTTGCCATCGTGGATTTGCTGTCCTTTGAGGGTTTTTTGGCTTTACCTGAAATAATCACAGGCTGGGGTTTATCCAGTTATCACCAGACTCTCTTCAGTACAGGGAATCTTTGTAACAGGATGCACCAGGTTCCCAGTGCCATCCTGGAGCAAAGTGCCCCAGGGGATCAAGAAATCATGCTTTATCCACAGAGGAAAGCACCAAAGTACCCAAAGGGGAGAGAACTGCTGCACCCTGCTGCTGCTGGAGGGATGCCACAGGGATCTGTGGGCTTTAGGCACTGAAAAGCAAGGCTCAGTGTTAAATAGGGGGTGATTTCCATGTTCCACAGGTGTCTCACACACCTGGGTGGAAGGCCACACTCGCAGCTGCTCCCATGGCTCACCTGTGGCTCTGTTTAGTCTCAATTCCAGCTGCCACAGCACTCACAGGCTGGGACTGAAGACTCAGCAGAGGAGGAGAACTCCTCCTTGGGCTGTGGAAACCCATTGGTTGCTTCACAGAAAACATGTTTAGTAAAAGCCAGATTTTCCCAGCATGTTCCTCCTGATGAGCAAAACCCATGTGGAAAGCAGAACAGGACACCATGGAGCAGGGGTGTGATAGAATCCTGAAACTGCTCCAGAGCTGGCTGGGGGACAGTGTGCAACCAGGAGCTCTGGGATTATCCCCCCCAATTTCCTCCTGTGCTGCCAACAGCCCTGGAGCTTCCCAGGACAATGTCCCCAAGGTGCTGGGACACACACAGGTACCTGTGCCAGGACAGAGCAATCCCACCAGGGCCTGGATAATCCACTGGATCTCCTCCAGGATTAACCAGCTTGTCCTGAAGAACTGCTACATCTCATCCATCTAAAGCATTCTTCATCCCACAATAAAATTATTCCACACAATTTAAGAGTGCCAAACAAGGGCACCCTGCAGTTTTCCCCAAGCCTTGGTTTTGGCCAGGGTCTCATTCATCACATCCAGCTCCAAGACACTGCTTTAGCCACACACAGAGCCCCAGACAGCAGCTGGAGCCAACAGCCCCCTCCCAAAACCTTCTGGGGCTGCACATGGAGACCCAAGGAAAGACAGACAGTGCCTGGCAGACTGGGGAGCTTCCTGCCTGCCCCTCCAGCATGGGGAGGTGCCAAGAGGAAAGAAAAGAGTTGACACCATTGGAAAAAGGAGATTTATTTATTAACCAGGGAGGTGGGCCCAGGCACTCACATGAGGGAGGGAGGAATGTGTGGAGCAGACCCAGACGTGGGGTGTCCAGGCTGCTGCTGAGCTGACAGCCATTTGGGGAAGGGGGTACAGAGAACCCTCAGCAGCACACTGAGGGCTGGTGGCACTCTGGAGCAGAGCTCAGGCACAGGCAGGAGTGCCCAGGGACACTGCCAGGTCAGTTACAGTTCTTGGGCAGGCGATAGACCCCCCCTGAGTAGATGAGCTGCTGGTCCCGGACCTTCTTCTGGAGGAATCCCTGCAGCTCCTGGATATCGATCTCAGTGACCACGGGGCCCGTCATCACAAACATCTTGAGCATGCTGTGAATCCTCTCCAGGGACAGGCTCTCCAGGTTGGTCAGCATGGCCTGGATGTACGTCCAGAAGAGCTGCAGAGGGACACAGGCCACAGTGAATGACTGACACTACAGCATAAAGCAAATATCCCAAAAACAAGGCAGGGATGCAGCTGGCACTAAGTTCTGCTCTCAGCCATGAGCACGGGGTCTTCAAACAGGGCATATCCAACAACAGCAGCAAAGTGCTGGGACACTGAGCTAGACAGTGGGATCTGACCTGCAGCACACACACGACCCTCTGTGGATGAACACCAGTATGACAATGCTGTGGTGCACAACACACACAGTATGACTCACGGGCAGGAAAGGCACTGGAAATGTCCAGGAACCACAACAGAGAGAAGGCAGAGCTCCAGCTGTTAGTACTGGGTAAGTTTTTTTGGGCAGTCAGAAGTGCCAAAAAGTGTTGCTTGGGTGCATCCAAAGTAGTTATGGCTATTTTCAAACATGAAATCATGTCTCAGACTTTCTTTCTTTTTTTAAACTAAAAAAAAAACCAATTTGGAGATTTCCAAATGGTTCCCTGACTCAGCAGCTGGGCACTTGTCTGGAGGGAAGGCTGTGCATCAAAAGATTAACCAAGAGATACCCACTTCAAAACCCAAATGTTTGTGCTGGACTCAGCCACTTGCAGTGGAAAATGTGAATCCATAGTGCAAACTGAATCCATCATCTCGATCAGATTCCCCAAACCCAAAACACAGGATGTTTGCATCACCACAGAGACAGGTACCTGCAGCTCCTCCTCCTTCTGGTCAGCCTGTGAGGCCATGGCAGAGTCCCCCTCCTCGTCACTGTCAATCAGAACAACTTTCTCCACCTGGTCCTTCTGCTCCTCCTCGATGACGGTGAAGGTGCCCTCGGGCTCTTCCCGCAGGACTCCCTGCTGCAGCCACAGCGTCATCTTCCTCTTCAGTGATGTCACGGGCACCTTGAGCACTTCACTCAGCTCTGTCAGCGTCCAGGTGCCTGCAGAGACCATGGAAATCAGACAGGAGATGGAGAACAGGACACTTTCCACACCCAAGCCTGCCAGGATTTGGAAGGAAGCTGGGTAAGGCAGGGGAGGCACTGCCAGAACAAGCAGAGGGATGCAGAGCTGTGGCCCTGCTGGGTGCTGGAAACCCTGTGGGAGAACCAAACCCATGCACCAGGTCTTGTTCATCCTGCCAGACCTCTCAGAGCCTCCAGCTGCCCAAGGAACATGTCTTTCCCACCCATGGAAGCACAGACAGGGGCTGCCCAGCGCTCACTCTTGGTCTGGAAGTGCAGGATGATGGCGGCGTGCACAGGAGACACGGACAGGGAGAGCGTGCGATCAGCCAGCTCCACATCCAGGCTCACCAGCCCCAGGTGGTACTTCCAGTTCAGGGTCCTCATGGCCTGGGAAAAGGGGGAAGCAGCTGATCCCAGCAGATCTCCCAGCAGGAACCACTAAGTGCTGGGTTATTGCCACCCCCACTGTAACAGCGTGGGCCAACCAGCAGCTAAAGGAGACTGGATAAAGGAGGGTTAAGCTGGGCTCACCTTTAGTTTCTCATACTTCTTGGAATACGCTTCCATGGCTTCCTTGACCTGCTCTGGAAGCTCCAGCTTCTCCTCTTTGAGTGGTGGCCAGAACTCACTGGACAGGATAACAGCCACAAGGCTGAAGGGAGGCCTCTCCTCCTCAGGGAGCTTCTCCTCCTCATCCCGAATGTTGGCGTTAATGCGCCGTGAGTCGGCCATGTCCTGCAACAGGCACAGGGCTCAGGGGGCTCCTTCCCTTCAGAGCCAGTGCTTCTGGCTTCAACAAGGTGAACAGTGTTCTCTCCAAAGGGTGATGGAAAGGATATGATCTCATGTGTATTCTACTTGGAAGTCTGCTACATACTCAGAAAAATTTGTGGGATGTTAGAGGGAGGGGTTATAACTCAACACTGCATCACTGGAGGCCTTCCACACCTGTGTTCTTCCCAGAGTGCTCCAAATGAATCAAACTCCAGAGTCCCACCCCCAGAGGAGCTGGACAAGCCCAGCTCTTCAATGCTAGGATACTGCAGGAAGGGCAGGAGAGACAGCAGCACCAGAGCAACCATTCCCCAGAGCTGATAATCCAACCCACAGGGCTTAAAAACAGACATGATTTAAATGCATTCCTGCCTGCCACAAATCAGCCCCTCTCTGGCATTCTGGAGCCCCCACTTTCCTAAAAAACCCTTTCTGGGTCACTCCTCAAGTCCCTCCCCTTCCCCAATGGGCTCAAACACACAGGACTTGAATTAAAATAAAATAAAAGGAGTTACTTTTAACATGACTTCACAGTAGTGCATCTGAGCTTCACCAAACCTCAGCTTCAGCAGCTCCACGTTCCGGATTTCCCTGGAAAGAGACACAGCAGGTCAGGCATGGGGCCCTCAGCAGGACAAACCTGGCTTGGCCTCCACCCCTCACCACACAGCCAAAAAAAAGAAGTCCCTGGCACAAGGATGCTCTTCCTAGGAAGCCTTGCAAGACACAGTGTCTGCCCAGGATGGCTCCTGGTACCCAAGGGAGGAACAGCCCCCCTCTAGGCCAGCAGCTTTTTAAAGACAGAATCCCAGAATGGTTCAGGCTGGAAGGGACCACTGGAGCTCATCCAGTTCCACTTCCCTGCTCAAGCAGGGTCCCCTGGAGCAGTCACTCAGGGTTGTGTCTAGATGGGTTTGGAATATCTCCAGGGAAGGAGACCTCACAGCCTCTCTGGGCTCCTGTTCCACTCCTCAGTCACCTCTCCTTACAGCAAAGCTCTTCCTCGTGTTCAGGTGGAGCTTTCTGTATTTCAGAAAAACACATCTCCCATCCCTTCCACTTGAGGGGCCATCAACATGTGGGACGGAGCTAAGAGCATGTCAGTGTCTCCAAATTCCTACTCTAACACAAGCCAAGGGCAGGACTGAGCATGGAATTCTAGAGACAAAGCTGCAAAGCAAACAGCCAAAGGCACTCCTGGCTGCACAAACAGCCACTGACAGGACAGAGTCTGAAAGTTCTACCCTTCAGACAGCAGGTAAAAGAAAACTCAGGTGATTTTTCCAGGGAAGCCCTGGCTGTGGGCGCTGGGGCCTCACCTCTCAGCGCTGTAGTTGAACTGGTGCAGCAGCCGGTCAGCCAGCAGCGTGCGGTACTCGTTGATGAACAGGTCCTTGCTGCCGTAGATGCTCACCAGGAGGCTGATGATGTCTGAGGAGCGACGCTTGGAGCTCGATTTCCCTGGTGGAATCCAGTGTGAGATTGACAGGGACCTGCCCCAGCCCAGCTCCAGAGGAGCAGCAAATGAGCTGCTGAAGGCTCCAGCCCACCAGGGAAAACAGCCGGCTGCCAGGACTGCTGGGCTCAGCATCTCACCTGGATCTGCATCCACTGGGTCAGGAACCCAGTCCCCTGGCTCTGAGATGTCATCATCACTCTCCTGGCCATTCTCCAGGGTCACTGGGTCAGCTTTGGAGAGCTCGTTTGCCAGGTCACCCGAGCCCTCAGCATCCCCCGTGAGACCGGCCACGATCTGCCGCACCGTGTCCTCCCGAGTCCTGCCAGCAGCAACGGAAACGGAGCAAATGAGGGGAGGGAAAGGGGATGTGTCAGACTGCCCCACACTCCTCCTACCTCAGGTACTTCCTGATGGGCTCACAGGCAACTTCCAGGATAACCATGGAAGGGTCCA